CACCTTGGCTGAGGGCAGCTGAAGGTGGGGCTCTGCAGTTGGGATCTCCGCTCCCAAGTCCATCAGATACTTGTATGAACTTGGGAAAGTTACCTAACCTCTTTCTGGCAGAGTTTCTTTATCTATAAGGGTGGGGATAATGATGACACTGATATCATAGGATTAGTGTAATTAAATGAATTAATATGTCAAGGGCTATATGTCATCAATTCGGAAAATGATAGCTTTTCACTTTTTAACATCTCTGAAGTTAGGGTGCCTTTTACAATAGATGATGTGTAATAGTTTAACTGGCAAGATTTTCTCTTTCTTAGCAATGCTTTAAAAACAGGCATCTTATAACTTATGACATTAGATTCAATGAAATAGTAAATATTCAGTAAAAGTAAAGGATTATTGCCATTTATTATTACTATTGCCATTATTATAGTAACTGGTGCTTCCACTGACTGAAGTAATAAAAACTAGTGTAATGACAAAGAGGACAGATAAAAACTATCTAATTACCTAACATTATCTAATGTTACATACTAGGCAGAACCAATTAGCACAATATACACTAGCCTTGTGTTTATAGATATTTTAAAACTAAAAGATTTCAGTATTACTAAATAATTAATGGAATGCTCAGGAAAAATACTTTGGAAAAACAGCCAATTTCTTAACAAAAAGAAGCACTTCAAAATTTAAGGTACTGTTCAAGTAATAACATTAATAACATTAAAATGTTTTATATACAATATCATATGAACAGATCTGCAAAAGTATTAAAATTTTCTTCTTTTATATTTTAGACATTTATTTTTATGACAACTTAATTAATAACCAATAGAAACACAAGGTATAAAGAAATGAATATACTAACCTAATGTTCTAAAAGTTCCATCAATTTAGCAGAGAGAAGGGATATTTATGCGAAAAAAAGCTACTTTGATTTTAGGTTCATTTCAGTGACTAGAGTTGACGCACAATAGAAAACAGATGAAGCAAACATGGAGATTAAAGCTTTTTTCAAAAGTAAGTGCTCTTTTGAGGTTAAACGACTTTCAAAAATCTAGTCAGTGCTTGTTTTAGTAAAAAATTATGGTAATACGTTATATACAGATAATCAATATTCAAGAACAAAGTACTCTAGGATCTTACCAAAAAGACAAGCGGTGCTAAAATGGTTATTTACAGGTTAAACTACTGACTGCTTGTTGTGCCAAAAAGCAAGGAAGTTAAAAGGACAGAGAAGCCAGTTTGAAGGAGCTCTCAATGGCTAAACTCGAGACGATGTTAGCATCAAAATAATGATAGTAACAGACTTTAAACCATTGAACAAAATAGGATATTCTGAATCCATTTTAATAAATGGACTGAAAGTTTGATAAGAAATGGAGTGTTTATTAGTTTCAAAGTACTTTCCTACAAAAACACTCATTACAAAGAGAAAGAGAGTAACTTTACGATGGAAAAGACTAGAAGACTTTCAGAATTGAGTACTCGGCAGATACGTTCTTCAGGTTTAATAAACTGAGTCTGTCCTTAGAAGAAAGTCAAAGTCAATGTCATTAGCTTCTTCAAGCTGACTTATGTGTCCTTTTTTAATTTCCTTGTTTTTTGGTACAGTAAAAAACCAGTAGTTTAACAAATCAAATTAATTGGAGCAGTTATCTCCAGATGATAAGAATATAAATGATATCTAATATACATTTTTCTATACCTTACAAAACCCCCTATAATGACGATGCATTACTTTTTAAAGGAGAGAATCAAAGTTTTAAGCACATTCTGCTCTGTGGAAAAAAATAAAGGCTAATCCGGCTCAGAATTCAAGCAACTGCCCAAGTGCTTTTTGTCAAGACAATCATCATCACATTTTGGTATGCACCAAGTGTTTTATGTGTACTCCAAATTTAGTCACACAGAATATTAAAAGTTACGTGTACTCAGGGTTGAACTTTAATAAAACTAGTAATTTTTACTAATACACCAAAGATATTCTTAAGTGAAACTGCCTTTTTAAAAAAACTTCACGTGCATGACACTGAAGAATACGGTGGCTACTAGTACATTTGGTACCATCATCCTCATTCATGCTAAAGCAACGACAGTTTGACCCACTACTGCTTTTGCATCATCAGTGCAAATGTCAACACGGTGAAAAAGGCAAATAATGTCTTATGAAAACAGTTTTGACCTTGTAGACCCATGCAAGGTCTCAGGAGCTCTCAGGAGTCCACAGACCATACTTTGGAAACCACTGTCTCAAATAATCAATGATGGTAAAAATCAGAGGATTGGTTACCCCTGGGGATGGAAGAGGATAGATTAGGGAGGGAACCAAGGGAATCTTACGGGATTCTAGAAATGTTCTATATCATGATCTGAGAAACTGCTACCTGGGTGTATACATATATTTTTTTAAAATATTAAGCTGTGCACTTAAGGTTAGTGCTACAACATCTATGCTATCCCTAAATTAAAAAAAAATGCCTTTAATTCTAAGTCTTAGAACTTTTATGTTCTAGTACATCCACCTAAACCCTGAGAAGGCTTTCTGCTGCAAGCATTGAGGGAAACATCTGTCTCCCACTACTTGTTTCCACCTAGTGAAGGAAAATTTCACTCTAGTCTCCAAAAGGGAAAAGAACAGAAAGAACACTTTTTTTTTGAGTGAAGGTAGATTTATTCAGAGACATACATTGAAAGGCAAGAGAAAGGCCATGAGGTGTGGGGACTGGGTGCTCAGATTAAAAGTAGGTACACATTTCATAGACATAATGCAGGCCGTCTCCAAAGAGGGAGAGAGAGGGGCGGCCGTGAGGCGCGGTGTTGCTGGTGTTTATGGGCTTGGTGGCTTCATATGCTAATAAGTGGAAGGACCAGTCTAAGGGGAAGGGGGTGGGATTCCTAGGAAGTTGGCCACTTCCCCACTCTTTGACCTTTTGTGACTAGCCTTGGGACTGCCATGGTGCTTGTGGGCGTGTTATTCACCATTTTAATATATTACGATGGGCGTATAATGAAGCTCAAGATCTGCCAGAAGTTAAATCTCTCATCATCCTGAGCCTCAAGGCCTAGTGGGGGTGGAATCTTTCACCATTTTGATGTTAACTGCTGTGACATTCCTTGAATGGCCGTGCCCTGCCCTCTTCCTGTCTCATTCCCCACCTCAGAGATTTTACTCCCATAATCTTATGGGGTTGCAGAGGGGCAAAGGTCTGCCTTCTGAAACTGCTTCCAGGCTAAGTAGGGGCATTGACCCTGCCTATCAGGGAGTAAAAATCTCTGACGCTAAGAAAACTTTTAACCCTTCTTTACTCCCTCGTCTACGCCTCTCTATGGGAGCAGAAGTGACATAGGAGAAAGAGCTGTCTGTCCATCTGTAACTCAACCTTTTAATTTGGAGTGGCCCACCCTCAAAAGGAACAGAATTTCTGCTCACTTACATAGAGAGTTTTCCAGGGCAGGTCCTGCCAATGCAGGCAAAAGGCTTCCAGTTTTAGTGTTAAGTTCAATTCAGAGAGGGCACTAAGAGTTCAAGTTCAGCTCTACTGGTTCATAGAGTTAATATTTTTCTTTCCATCTTTCTGATGCATGCATTTTATTCTAAACTGGTTCCAAACTTGGGAAAGGAAAGTAACCAGTGTTACTTATTATTAGCCTTCTCAAATTCCAACAGCAAGGGCTTTCTAATATGCACCTGTTAGAATATTCCACAAAATAGTGTTCAATAAATATTTATTAAGCTTGAAATGATATATTCATTTAAAAATAATCTGGCTAATACTACTCAGCCATAAAAACCAACAACATAACGCCATTT